GGCTTGTCTAACCCCTGGCTTGTCTAACCTCAGGCTTGTCTAACCTCAGGCTTGTCTAACCTCAGGCTTGTCTAACCTCAGGCTTGTCTAACCCCAGGCTTGTCTAACCCCAGGCTTGTCTAACCCCAGGCTTGTCTAACCCCAGGCTTGTCTAACCCCAGGCTTGTCTAACCCCAGGCTTGTCTAACCACTGGCTTGTCTAACCCCAGGCTTGTCTAACCCCAGGCTTGTCTAACCCCAGGCTTGTCTAACCCCAGGCTTGTCTAACCCCAGGCTTGTCTAACCTCTGGCTTGTCTAACCCCTGGCTTGTCTAACCCCGGGCTTGTCTAACCCCAGGCTTGTCTAACCCCAGGCTTGTCTAACCCCTGGCTTGTCTAACCCCAGGCTTGTCTAACTCCAGGCTTGTCTAACCCCAGGCTTGTCTAACCCCAGGCTTGTCTAACCCCAGGCTTGTCTAACCCCTGGCGTGTCTAACCCCTGGCTTGTCTAACCCCTGGCTTGTCTAACCCCAGGTTTGTCTAACCCCAGGCTTGTCTAACCCCAGGCTTGTCTAACCCCTGGCTTGTCTAACCCCAGGCTTGTCTAACCCCAGGCTTGTCTAACCCCAGGCTTGTCTAACCCCTGGCTTGTCTAACCCCAGGTTTGTCTAACCCCAGGCTTGTCTAAGCCCAGGCTTGTCTAACCCCTGGCTTGTCTAACCCCTGGCTTGTCTAACCCCAGGTTTGTCTAACCCCAGGCTTGTCTAAGCCCAGGCTTGTCTAATCCCTGGCTTGTCTAACCCCAGGTTTGTCTAACCCCAGGCTTGTCTAAGCCCAGGCTTGTCTAACCCCTGGCTTGTCTAACCCCAGGCTTGTCTAACCCCAGGCTTGTCTAACCCCTGGCTTGTCTAACCCCAGGTTTGTCTAACCCCAGGCTTGTCTAAGCCCAGGCTTGTCTAACCCCTGGCTTGTCTAACCCCTGGCTTGTCTAACCCCAGGTTTCTCTAACCCCAGGTTTGTCTAACCCCAGGTTTGTCTAACCCCAGGTTTGTCTAACCCCAGGTTTGTCTAACCCCAGGCTTGTCTAATCCCAGGCTTGTCTAACCCCTGGCTTGTCTAACCCCAGGTTTGTCTAACCCCAGGTTTGTCTAACCCCTGGCTTGTCTAACCCCAGGTTTGTCTAACCCCTGGCTTGTCTAACCCCAGGTTTGTCTAACCCCAGGCTTGTCTAAGCCCAGGCTTGTCTAACCCCAGGCTTGTCTAATCCCAGGCTTGTCTAACCCCTGGCTTGTCTAACCCCAGGTTTGTCTAACCCCTGGCTTGTCTAACCCCAGGTTTGTCTAACCCCAGGCTTGTCTAATCCCAGGCTTGTCTAACCCCTGGCTTGTCTAACCCCAGGTTTGTCTAACCCCTGGCTTGTCTAACCCCAGGTTTGTCTAACCCCAGGCTTGTCTAAGACCAGGCTTGTCTAACCCCTGGCTTGTCTAACCCCTGGCTTGTCTAACCCCAGGTTTGTCTAACCCCAGGTTTGTCTAACCCCAGGTTTGTCTAACCCCAGGTTTGTCTAACCCCAGGTTTGTCTAACCCCAGGCTTGTCTAATCCCAGGCTTGTCTAACCCCTGGCTTGTCTAACCCCAGGTTTGTCTAACCCCAGGTTTGTCTAACCCCTGGCTTGTCTAACCCCAGGTTTGTCTAACCCCTGGCTTGTCTAACCCCAGGTTTGTCTAACCCCAGGCTTGTCTAAGCCCAGGCTTGTCTAACCCCAGGCTTGTCTAATCCCAGGCTTGTCTAACCCCTGGCTTGTCTAACCCCAGGTTTGTCTAACCCCTGGCTTGTCTAACCCCAGGTTTGTCTAACCCCAGGTTTGTCTAACCCCAGGTTTGTCTAACCCCAGGCTTGTCTAAGCCCAGGCTTGTCTAACCCCTGGCTTGTCTAACCCCAGGTTTGTCTAACCCCAGGCTTGTCTAAGCCCAGGCTTGTCTAACCCCTGGCTTGTCTAACCCCAGGCTTGTACAGTGAAGGTGCAAGGTACAGTGTAGGAGGCACAAGGTACCTGGTGAGGTACAGTGTAGGTGGCACAGGGTACCTGGTGAGGTACAGTGTAGGAGGCACAAGGTACCTGGTGAGGTACAGTGTAGGAGGCACAAGGTACCTGGTGAGGTACAGTGTAGGAGGTACAAGGTACCTGGTGAGGTACAGTGTAGGTGGCACAGGGTACCTGGTGAGGTACAGTGTAGGAGGCACAAGGTACCTGGTGAGGTACAGTGTAGGAGGTACAAGGTACCTGGTGAGGTACAAAAGCATCCTAATTAATGTTTATTTAAGACTCATACTGCCAGCAGTCACTCATTAAAGCATCTAAGTTACTGTAACTCACTAACAATTTTATACCTGTATTCTCTAGAGCGACAGCGGGAGACATAATCTAGACGTGGAAGATACTAGAGGGGCTGGTGCCAAACCTGCACGGGGAAGCAACACCACGTGAGGCCAGGAGCCATGGCAGGATGTGCACAACAGTGAACTCTGTCTGATTCATCCGTCAGGCCGCGAGCAACTGCGTCCAACAGCCTGGTTGACCAGATCTCCAACCAGGAGGCCGGGTCAGAGACCGGGCCGCTTGGACGTTGATCCCCGTGAACCAACAGCAGGTAGGTAATGCATTATACTGACCATGTAATATACTGACCATGTAATATACTGACCATGTAATATGCCGCCCCCTTGAAGTATAATACCATATACTCTCCCATATACCCCTATGCCACACCAAAATTGACCATAGGACTAATGGTCATAGTATTAGGCCTAATCAAATAAAAAACAAAAAATAACTTATTAGAACATCAATAACAAAAACAATCCATCTGAAATATTAGTAAAAAAAAAACAATAACATTAACCTGCTTCTCCGGTTATTTCTCTTCATGTGAGAGAAATAACGTTATCAGATAACAATAATAATGGCAACATGAACGTGACTATATGACACCTCTCACCAGCTGGGAGATGGCAACAAACAATTTCTCTGGTCATTTAAGTTTTTGCTTGGCCGTTGAGGGGGCGAGGACGAGGCTAGGAGTCGGGCCGGCGCCCTAGCCACTACCCTCTCGTTACAACTGGTCAAACCTTATATACCGCTAGGTTAGGGTGGCTTCGGTTAGGTTACGTTCTTGGCTTGGGTCCGATAGGTTAGGATTGATTGCGTGAGTGTAGGTTAGGTTTGGCTGAATAGGTTCGGCTTGGTTAGGCTAGGCTGAGCTAGATTCGGGCCATTGGGTTAGTTAAGGTTCGGTTGGGCAGGGTTAGGTTAGGTTAGGTTGGGCAGGGTTAGGTTAGGTTGGGAAGGGTTAGGTTAGGTTGGGCAGGGTTGCGTTAGGTTGGGCAGGGTTGCGTTAGGTTGGGCAAAGTTGGGTTAGGTTGGGTTGGGCAAGGGTTAGGTTGGGTTGGGCAAGGGTTGGGTTAGGTTGGGCAGGGTTTGGCTAGGTTGGGCAGGGTTGCGTTAGGTTGGGCAGGGTTGCGTTAGGTTGGGCAAAGTTGGGTTAGGTTGGGCAGGGTTGGGTACACGGTACACGGGTAGTTATCTTGAGGTTATCTTGAGATGATTTCGGGGCTTTAGTGTCCCCGCGGCCCAGTCCTCGACCAGGCCTCCACCCCCAGGAAGCAGCCCGTGACAGCTGACTAACACCCAGGTACCTATTTTTACTGCTAGGTAACAGGGGCATAGGGTGAAAGAAACTGCCCATTGTTTCTCACCGGCGCCTGGGATCGAACCCAGGACCACAGGATCACAAGTCCCGCGTGCTGTCCGCTCGGCCGACCGGCTGGGTTAGGTTGGGTTGGGCAGGGTTTGGCTAGGTTGGGCAGGGTTGCGTTAGGTTGGGCAGGGTTGCGTTAGGTTGGGCAGGGTTGGGTTAGGTTGGGCAGGGGTTGGGTTAGGTTGGACAGGGTTGCGTTAGGTTGGGCACGGTTGGGTTAGGTTGGGCAGGGGTTGGGTTAGGTTGGACAGGGTTGCGTTAGGTTGGGCACGGTTGGGTTAGGTTGGGCAGGGTTGCGTTAGGTTGGGTTGGGCAGGGTTGCGTTAGGTTGGGTTGGGCAAGGTTGGGTTAGGTTGGGCAGGGTTAGGTTAGGGTGGGCAGGGTTGGGTTAGGTTGGGCAGGGTTGCGTTAGGCTAGGTTGGGCAGGGTTGGGCTAGGTTGGGCAGGGTTGGGTTAGGTTGGGCAGGGTTAGGTTAGGTTGGGCAGGGTTAGGTTAGGTTGGGCAGGGTTGGGCTAGGTTGGGCAGGGTTAGGTTAGGTTGGGCAGGGTTGGGTTAGGTTGGGCAGGGTTGGGCTAGGTTGGGCAGGGTTAGGTTAGGTTGGGCAGGGTTGGGTTAGGTTAGGCAGGGTTAGGTTAGGTTGGGCAGGGTTAGGTTAGGTTGGGCAGGATTAGGCTAGGTTGGGCAGGGTTAGATTAGGTTGGGCAGGGTTAGATTAGGTTGGGCAGGGTTGGGTTAGGTTGGGCAGGGTTAGGTTAGGTTGGGCAGGGTTGGGTTAGGTTAGGCAGGGTTAGGTTAGGTTGGGCAGGGTTAGGTTAGGTTGGGCAGGGTTAGGCTAGGTTGGGCAGGGTTAGATTAGGTTGGGCAGGGTTGGGTTAGGTTGGGCAGGGTTAGGTTAGGTTGGGCAGGGTTGGGTTAGGTTGGGCAGGGTTAGGTTAGGTTGGGCAGGGTTGGGTTAGGTTGGGCAGGGTTGGGTTAGGTTGGGCAGGGTTGGGTTAGGTTGGGCAGGATTAGGCTAGGTTGGGCAGGGTTAGGTTAGGTTGAGCAGGGTTGGGTTAGGTTGGGCAGGGTTAGGTTAGGTTGGGCAGGGTTGGGTTAGGTTGGGCAGGGTTAGGCTAGGTTGGGCAGGGTTAGGTTAGGTTGGGCAGGGTTAGGTTAGGTTGGGCAGGGTTAGGCTAGGTTGGGCAGGGTTGGGCTAGGTGTGTGTCAGTAGCGGTGGGGTGGAGTAGAGGTGTAGGCCACACAGGTACACCCAAGACACCTACCTTAAGGAGTGTAGGTGTGCGTGTAGCTCCACCGTCGGGGCTCTCACTGTCACCACACTAACAACTACCGCGCACGCTAACACACCAACACTTGCACTCTCACAGTGTCGCTTGGTGGGTCACGCAGCCCAGTATTGTGGGGTAGGTGGCGGGGCACACGATACACACACACGACACACGACACAATAGGGGCGCCCACACCTCACTCCGGCACTGGTCAAACCTCGACTGACTGCCCACCTCTGCCCGGGCACCACGGCCCCCGCCTGCCAGGTGTCGCCACAACGCTCCAGTCCTCATTTTCCTTTTTATGTGAAGAAATCCGGACTACTGTATAGCTAACTAACCGGAATATATGATTTTGTATAACTATTCAGTGTTATGTATGGAATTAGGAACATCTTAGTTTAGTTTTAAGGTAAGTATGAGGTATAATTCACACCGTATGGGGCAGGACCTCAGCTCCGGATGGTTGCCATATAGTGTATATGAAGACCCCCGCAAACATTACGCTATACGCCTAACACAACTCTCACTAACACATCTCCACAATCTTAATTAAATCTTAGCCTCTGGTGGAGCTGTTCCCTGGTCAGAGAAGGTGGAGGGAAGACTAACGGGGATGTGGAGGGAGAGATTATGGGTGATGTGAGGGCCCAGGTGAGAGTGTGGGGCCCGGGGAGGAGGCAGACCGGGCCCCAACACACCCACACCTCACAGCCAGGCAGGAAGATGGGGGACAGTTTAAGCTTCACAGACACGATACATTGAGGCGTTCTGTACCCCAACCATAGTCTTAGAAACTCAAGAGATGCGAGGCATAACAGGGAGACAGCCAGCGGTTGACTCTGAGCATTTGTTAGTGGTCGCCACCGTGGCCAACACACCAGGACCTGCACGGCCCTTGGCACCCTGCCATATTATATTCCATCTACGTACAACAACACACTCAAGGAGTTTTACCTTGCATTCTAATTAACACTCCACTGAGAGCATCGGCACCCAAAAATATAACAAAAAACACTTGATTTGAGTGTGTTAGAGTTAACAAGCCTAGGACGAGGGCTGAAATTAAACATTCCTGACAAACATAATAGTCGTGAATCACTCGATTGTTTCAAGCGTAGGTGAGACATCCATATCAATGCATGTTAGTGGATATAACTAGCAGCAGCATCGGATAGGTATTCAGATCTACAATTTCCTATGTTACTAAATACTTAAGTACTTATGTCTCTGGTGTGTAATACTTTATCAACATAGAGGCCTGTGTGTCTCTGGTGTGTAATACTTTATCAACATAGAGGCCTGTGTGTCTCTGGTGTGTAATACTTTATCAACATAGAGGCCTGTGTGTCTCTGGTGTGTAATACGTTATCAACATAGAGGCCTGTGTGTCTCTGGTGTGTAATACTTTATCAACATAGAGGCCTGTGTGTCTCTGGTGTGTAATACGTTATCAACATAGAGGCCTGTATGTCTCTGGTGTGTAATACTTTATCAACATAGAGGCCTGTATGTCTCTGGAGTCCACTACCGCTTGCAGGATTGGTATGGGGTACACTTCTACCCACTGGATGTGGTATATGTTCCACTTCCGCCCAAAGGATATGTGTAGCGTCCACTGTACCGCCCACAGGATGGGTATGGGGTCCATTGCCGCCCACAGAATGAGAATAGGGTCCAGTACCGTCCACGGAATTCGTACATGCATAACTACCTCCGACAGGATGAGTATATCTTCTACTAACGCCCACAGGATGAGTATTGGGTCCATTACCGCCCACAGGATGGGTATGGCGCCCACTGCCGCCTACATTCAAATTCAAATTCAAATGTTTATTCAGGTGAAGTACATACATACAAGGTGTGATACAAATATTGATGAATTTATAGATAGAGCTAGTACATACAATGCCTAAAGCCACTATTACGCAAAGCGTTTCGGGCAGGAAAACACTAAAGACTAAAACTTAATACTAATTGAGATTAAAGTATAAAATGTGTTGAGAAAATAAAAAAATAAAAAAGGGGGAACACGGCAGAATAACAGCAAAAAATACAATTTGGTCGACAAACAGCATTGTTTAAAAAAAATAGCAGACAGGGGTTGACATTATAGGGGTAAGGTAGGTTACAGGGAGTTAATTAGGTAGTGTTTAGTTTTTATCTTAAACTGGTTGAGAGAGGTACAGTCTTTAACATAATTGGGAAGGTCATTCCACATTTTAGGTCCCTTGATTTGTAGAGCATTTCTAGTTTGATTAAGTCGTACTCTTGGAATATCAAAAAGGTATTTGTTTCTGGTGTGGTAGCTCATGGGTTCTGTTACAACCTTCAATGAAGCTTTTATGGTCAGGATTGACATTACAGTTCAGCGTTTTATATACTGTATATATAATGCACATGAGAGGATGTGCAGTGACTTAATAGCTAACATATTCAGAGATTTGAGTAGGGGTACCGAGTGATGTCTGGGGCCAGAGTTAGATATTGTCCTAACAGCAGCTTTGTGTTGAGTAATTAGAGGACGTAAATTATTTTGGGTGGTAGAACCCCAAGCACAAATACCATAGTTGAGATAAGGATAGATAAGAGAGTAATAGAGTGTCACCAGGGCAGGGCGAGGTACATAATATCTGATTTTAGAAAGAATGCCAACAGTTTTTAAAACTGTTTTGATATATTTAGATTGTGTCCCTGGAAATTCAGCTTGTGATCAATGAGAACGCCAAGCAATTTGCCATCTACTTTCTTACAAAATTGGGTATTGTTTATCCTGAGATTTATTTGATTTGAGGATTTATTGCCAACAAACAAAATAAGTATGATATTGCCAAACAAAATAAGTATGATACATGATAAGTATGATGTCCACTACCACCCAAAGGATGGGTATGGCCTCCACTGCCGCATACAGGATGAATATAGGGTCCAGTACCGCCCACGGGATGGGCATGGGTCCAATACCGCCCACAATATGCTTATGAGGTCAATTACCGCCCACAGGATAGGTATGGGGGTCCACTACCGCCCACAGGGTGGGTATGGGGGTCATGTCCATCCACAGGATGGGTATATGTGCCACTACCACCCACAAAATGAATATAGTGTCCACTACCGCCCACATAATGGGTATTGGGTCGAGAACCACTAACAGGATGGGGTATGGGGGGGCACTACTACCCACATGATGGGTATGAGGTCACTACCACCCACAGGATGGGCATGGGGTCCACTACCGCCCACATGATGGGTATGGGGTCCACTACTGCCTACAGAATGGCTATGGGGTCACTACCCCCACATGATGGGTATTGGGTCGACAACCACTCACAGGATGGGTATGGGGGCCACTACCCCCCACAGGATGGGCATGGGTCACTACCACCCACAAGATGATCATGGGGTCTACTACTGACCACAGGATTGGTTTGGGGTGCACTACCGCCCACAGGATGGGTATGGGATCCACTGTGATATTAGTCTAATCCTAAAAAAGCAGTATGAGGACATGTTTAGCACTCCGATACTCAGCATGAAAGTGGAAGATTCGGACAATTTCTTTATGAATGATACTCAAACACCTGTAAATATAACTGATATCAACACGAGCGTGGCAGATTTTGAAAGAGAAATTGACAATATGCCTATGCACTCAGCCTCGGGTCCAGACTCATGGAATTCAATATTTATAAAGAAATGCAAAGTGCCGGTACCACAGGCATTCAGTATAGTGTGGAGGAAGAGCTTGGACACAGGGGAGATACCAGATGCGCTTAAAGCAGCAGACATTGCCCCTCTACACAAGGGTGGTAGCAAAGCATTGGCAAAGAATTATAGACCAGTTGCACTAACGTCCCACATAATAAAAGTATTTGAGAGAGTGATCAGGAGTCAGGTCACTAGGTTCATGGAAACCAATGACCTCCACAATCCAGGCCAACATGGATTTAGAGCAGGAAGATCATGCCTCTCACAGCTACTTGACCACTATGACAAAATCACTGAGGCATTAGAGGAAAAACATAATGCAGATGTCGTATACACAGATTTTGCAAAGGCATTCGACAAATGTGACCATGGAGTGATTGCACACAAAATGAGGTCAATGGGTATAACTGGTAAAGTAGGACGCTGGATACTCAATTTCCTGTCGAACAGAACAGAAAGAGTAACAATCAATCAAGTAAAATCGAGTCCGAGCGCAGTTAAAAGCTCTGTGCCTCAGGGTACAGTCCTTGCACCACTGCTGTTCCTTATTCTCATATCAGATATAGACAAAAATACACGTCACAGCTTCGTGTCATCCTTTGCAGATGATACAAAAATCAGCATGAAAATTACCTCTGCTGAAGACATTGATAAACTACTATCAGATATTAACAAAGTTTTCGATTGGGCAGCAGAAAATAACATGATGTTTAACGGTGATAAATTCCAGGTACTCAGATACGGCAAAAATGAGGATCTTAAACATAATACAGGGTACAAAACACAATCGAATCTTCCCATAGTAGAAAAACAGCATGTCAAGGATTTGGGAATAATGATGTCCGACGACCTAACGTTTAGGAAGCATAACCAAGCAAGTATTGCGTCAGTCAGAAAAATGATAGGATGGATTACGAGAACCTTCAAGTCCAGAGATCCCATCACAATGGTTGTACTCTTCAAATCACTTGTGTTGTCCCGTCTTGAGTACTGCTCAGTACTCACTTCCCCCTTCAGAGCAGGAGAGATTGCTGAAATAGAGGGAATACAGAGAACATATACGGCACGCATAGACTAGATAAAGCACCTAAATTATTAGGATCATCTCAAAGCTCTCCAAATGTACTCACTAGAAAGGAGACGAGAGAAATACCAAATAATATACACATGGAAAATACTGGAGGGTCAGGTCCCAAATCTGCACAGTAAAATAACAACGTACTGGAGTGAACGACATGGAAGAAAATGCAGAATAGAACCAGTGAAGAGCAGAGGTGCCATAGGCACAATCAGAGAACACTGTATGAACATCAGAGGTCCACGGTTGTTCAACGTCCTACCAGCGAGCATCAGAAATATTACAGGAACAACCGTGGACATCTTCAAGAGGAAACTAGATTGTTTCCTTCAAGGAGTGCCGGACCAACCGGGCTGTGGTGGGTATGCGGGCCTGCGGGCCGCTCCAAGCAACAACCTGGTGGACCAAACTCTCACAAGTCAAGTCTGGCCCCGGGCC